TTTTTCTTATTATTTCTAGATGTTTACGCATTTTTTCACTTGCCACAAGGTTGAACAATCAGGTGCGGTAGTTGCTAGATAGCTGTTCTGTGACTTGTGCGTTGAAGTTCTTCTCAATATCGTTAAACTGACCTACAATAGGATTTCCAAAAATACCAGCCCACACGTTCAATTTCTGAGCGTTTTGTATGTGCATCTCGTGAAAAACCCTAGTTGTCCTCAGCCCAGTACCGACAGTTGTGCCGATTAACTACACCGTTCAAAAAGAAACTCATCCGAAAAACACACATTAAATAGGAAATTATTATCATTCGCCACTCGTTCACTCATAGTTTCACAAAATTGCAAGCGACGGTCAAAATCGTCTTCGTTAAGTTCTTGTACCAACTGAATTTTGTACGGATGGAACTTGTTTTTTTTAATATCCTTTGGACACTTGTACGATTCACGCCGGTCTCATTGGCTAATTTGCTTGTACTCAGCGTACTATCCATGGCAACTTGGGCCAATAAGAATAACTCCATAGGTTCATTTACTACAGGATTTTCCCTTTTTGCTTCTTTTTATTCATAACGGAACCAGTTTCGCGAAATTTTGCTACTAACTCGCGAACAATTTTGCCATAAAGGTGTTTGTCAGGATAGCGTTTAAAGGTGTTTGTCAGGATAGCGTTTATTGAATATGTGCGCAAACCAATACATTCATTATTTTTAAAATAAAGTTCGATCATTTCCACTTTTTCTGCAAGTGAGTACACCATAATTATTAAAAAGTTTAACGATATTGAGAAGAATTTCAACGCACAAGTCACAGAACAGCTATCTAGCAAACTACCGCACGTGATCGTTCAACCTTGTGGCAAGTGAAAAAACAGCAAATTTGTCGAAGGAACTTTTCCTTCGACATTCCATTTTCTGGTAAATTAAAAAATAAAAAAAAAACTTTTCAAATTTCAATCCTTCATATTTTCTCAATGACTCGACCGATTTTCAAAAACGAAACGGGGAAATATAGAGAATAGAAAGCTCTTTTCATTGCGGCGCCACTTGACCCCCCTTCCCATCTGAAAAAAGTTGGGTGATGGCCCCCCCGCTTAGAGGGTTGAAGATTTTGCAATCATTTTTGGGGCAAAAGTTGTCCTCCTCACAAACAAAATTGACGTGTTTTGAATTTTCTGAAAATAAAATTACCCTGGCCGTTATGTCTTGCGGAACGTTTTCGATGGGCCACCCGTATAGTCCAGTAAATAACGACACGAAAAGACACTTTTCAGGCGGATTGTGTACTTTCGAGGAGTAGTTTTAGAGGGAGAAAATTGTAATCAGTTTTCGCAAATATCTACCAAAATATGCAATTCACAATTTTTTTCTTGGAATGAAGCTCTACAAAAAGGTCCTGATACTTATTTTCGTAAAGTGCCGGGAAAATGCTTAAAAACGGCTCCTAAAGGGTCAAGAACAGGTTTTCCGCCAATATTGACCGAAATATGTAGATGATTTTTCATGATCCAATGGAAGATTGGGTCCTTTGAATCATCAAAAAATATTAAATTTTAGACGAATTATTAAAAAATTTGTCCTATCAATCAATGATACGCTTATGAAATATATCTTTGGAGCGTTATAGACGGAGAGCTGGCTACATAAAAAAACCTTATCATCGTTACATGGCTAATTTTTCTTGTGAAGTATCCTTTTTTGTAGCCATTATGAAATAGTCATGTCTGCCAGCGCGATCCCGGGGCTTAAAGCGGGTGGCGGCCAACCAAAGGAGTGAAATTTTGACACTAAAAATATTATAAGGTACACTAGTTATAATTGCCAAATAGCTTTTATTTATTATTAAGGAACGTGGAAAATTGTTGGCAGACATTTTTCTCGTGGCTAAAATGCCGGCAGACAACGCCAAAGAGGCATGAAATTTTGACAAAAAAATATTTAAAATTTATTTATATAAAACCCCTATGCAAAAGGCAGACAAAAAAATCGTGGCTCAATCTTCGGTAGACAGTTATCAAAAAGCGCGATATTACTCTACAGGGTAAGTCTTGAATAAGTGCAAATATTTCAGAGCTGGTAGATCTCGATAAAAGAAACATGTTCTCTTTACCGTTTTTCCAAACAAGTCCAAAATAACCGAGTTTTTTTAGAAGTTTAGAAAAAAGTGCACGATTTTCAACATCTTATTTCGCGGAAAAAACCTCATATCATGGAGTCGAAATATATCACCCCTAAAAGTATTTGCACTTATTTATGACTCACCCTGTATAAGCGTTTTCTGGAAACGTTCGCCGCGTCATCAATTGAAACATGATACATGAAGTCTACAAAAATTTTACTGTGCAGATATCGACTCAGAGGAAGACTCGTTTGGCGAGAGCGAGGATCTGTAGTACGACGAGTCAGATACAAGTCAGATACAAATGGTGAGACAGAATAGTAAATGTATGATATCTGTTATTGAAATGATAAAAAAATATATTTATAATATAATCGTATACATGATTTATCTATACTGATTTATTGATTTATCTGTCTGCCCTTTTGTATACGGCTTTTAAAACAAATAAATAACATTCCACCAATCGGCATGCATGTAGGCCATAATTTTTTTATTCGAAATTTTATGTCTCTTTCGCGTTATCTGCCGGCATTTTAGTGACGAGAAAAATGTCTGCCAATAATTTTCCACATTTCTTAATAATAAGTAAAAGCTGTTTTTGCAATTATAACTCCTTGTGTGTACCTTATAATATTTATAGTGTAAAAATTTCACCCTTGCTTTAAGATCCGGGATCGCGCTGGCAGATATGACTATTTTATAATGGCTACACAAAAGGATACTTCACAAGAAAAATTAGCCATGTAACCATGATAAGGTTTTTTATGTAGCCAGTTCTTAGACTATTAAGACATGAAGAGAAAATTGCGGGATCTTCGAAGCGGAATATCTCGATAACTCCCAATTCTACGTAAAAAATGATTAGGATCATTTTTGTAGGTGATACCTAAGCTTCATTTTTTAATTCAAGACAAAATTTTGTAAATTGCATATTTTGGCTGTATTTTCTCGACCAAAGCCGACCAAGCACGGTGTTACAATTTTTCCCTAAAACCTGATTTTATGATGTAAACAAAACATCAAATGCTACTGAGATAGCTTTATGTATCTTTTAGTAGGTATACTTAATCTAAGTTTTAATACTAATAGTTTCCTTAGTACGATATTTTAGCCTGCTAAATGTCTATATCGTCTTAGAAAGTAATAAATGTTTACTTTTTAGTTTTGAATTTTACTTTTAATAGTATATTACATGCTATTTAAAAATAAAGAAAAAAAGTCTAAAATAATTTTTTAATTAGTGCTTAATATTGAGAAAAAATAACAAATAATCAGACAAATATTTTTTTCATCCTTCAAAGTGTCATTTTCTATATAGATATTTGCTCTTAAAAGAGTGAAAATTGCAAGAGTTGTAGCAAGACCAAAATCAAGATTGGACCCTGGAATACCAACATCAAGACCATAGGAGTCTTGGTACTGGTTTTGATTTACATATCACTAATTTTAAAAGTTAATACAACAAATTTAAATATCTCTATTAGTCGGCACTGCCAAGATTATCAAGTTGTTTTTACGCCAACTGACACATCTTGATGCCTGTTTTTTTGGCCATTTATGTCACAAATTATTTCTTGCAAAAAATTAAAACGTTTAATTCGCAGAGCTGTTAAGTTTTCAGTATTCAATAATGAAGTGAAAAAAAATATGTAAAAACCACAAAAAATCACACACACGAATGAGCAACGTTTAACAATTTCAAAAAACAAGAAACAACAACGTAAAACGGTCATACAATAAAAATGGTTAGGGTTTTTGATTTGAGCGTCATTTCACTTCAAAAATATACCTGTTGAGCGCCCTGGAAGGCATGATAGTAACATGACACGTATGTCATGATGGCACGCTCATCGGGTTTTGGTGTATTAATCAAATCTGAAAAAAGCAAATGCATGCAAAGAAAATAAAAATAAAACAAATGTGTAACGAATAATATATTTTTATGCTTTATTGATGCTAACCACATTTTGTTTATGGTGTTCTATACTTAAATTTAACTGTTTCTGAAATGTTTTGACAAACCTAATTTCGGAAATAAATGCGGAAAGTATCTGCAGAGCAGAAATAAATTAAGCTTCGACAGACTTCAGCCAAAAATTGACAGAAAAATAAAATTTAACTTTGACACTTGATTTAACTTAATAGACAACTGTCACTGTCAAAATAACGGCATAAAGTTTACATGGAAATGATCGATGACATTCTCCATATAATTTTACATATAAAATGACAGCGATCTTCTATTCCTAGCCAACTCCGACGCTGTTATTTTTATCGAACGGTACATTTACGGCATTGATTTTTTTTAATTTACAAATTTCCCCTGTGTCAGATGGCTTGGAAATGAACATCAATGACATTCCCCATATAATTTTACATATAAAATGACAGCGATCTTTATTTCATAGCCATCGCTGAGGCCGTTTTTTTCTTTCATATTGTATTACAACATTAGTTACTCTAAACAACATTATTATACAGTATGTCCCCGGATTGTCTTTACAAGAGGGAAAACTCTTTTATTATTGACATTTTGAAAGAAATGCGTTCCTCGTAAAAATGTTTGCTTGTTTTAAAATGATTGATCACGTTCATACTTTTCCAAATTTTCATCTAATCTTTCTAGAATCTAAATCTTGAAGATAGTTTTAAAGAAATGCATAAACGCTGTAAATTTCATTTTGACATAAAATTGAAAATATTGCACATAACAAAAATAATGGTTAAATTTACGTATAGAAATCACATACAAAATATATGTTTGGAATTCAATGTAGAACACAAAAAGCATAAAATATATAGACATAACAGTTCTATTTAAAACAAGCAAATTAGTGACACTTCCGGTTAAGCCGGAAGTGAAAAATATTTAAAAAATACACCTAACCTAAATAATTCAAAATTGTATCTAATATAAACCGTAAAATACTTGATCAGGATACAATTGCCTTGCTTATAAGTACAGTAGAGATATAAAAAGTCTAGTGTGACAATAAACCATGCAAGAAAGATAGTTCCAAGTATTAATCGTGTTTTTTCTTCTTCTACATGAATGGTAAGCATGATAGACACATGTACCATATTTTAGTCTTTAGTAAAGGTGGGTACCTGTTATTCTTGCACGTTTTATTGTCCTTCTGATCTATTTATAACACTTTTACTGTATTTTTTTTATTTGTCTAGGCAGTATATTACAGTCGAAGATGAATTTCATTCAACCCTTACCGTCAGGATCTAACATCCTTGGAATGTCCAAGTACTTCTCGGCCACGTCGAAGGCAGTGTTCAAATTCTCCCAAGGATTGTCCTTGCTCAATTTGCTGTAGTCGATCAAATCTGGACGATGACGATGTATAAGGGCGCAGAACGCCAAACCATCCTATTTAAAATCAAAACAATAATAAATAATTTCTATAGTTTTGTGATAGGAGCCCAAGTAGCAAAAAGAAATTCTAAAAGGATTGAATTGATTATAACAGTCGAATAGCGTTGTCTTAAGGACTGCTTGATTTTATTAAGCGTTTGGTTTCGACCATTCTGTTTTTTAATAAAAGTTTTTTTTGTTTTTATAATTTTGATTTTATTGTGGTTTACAACGTATCCTATTAACGCATTAAACGATAATTTCTTTTAGTATGAATTAACCTTATAAGCATGCTATATGATAACAATACATATTATTTTATTAGCTCTACTACCACCATGTAAGAGTCTATAAATTTATATAACTAGTAGTCACAGGATCATATAATAGTTACTTAAACTTTTCTTATTAAAGTTGTATTAGGTTGTATGATATAAAGTTTTATTGCGTTAAACTATGATGCTGTATAGATCCACAGTTATATAGGCCTTATATGAAAAATTGTGATTAACAAGCAAAGCATTATAAACTGGGATAATGTAAATATCACTAATTATAATTTAAATGGTATCCTAAGATTGATATTTATTTTGTATTGTTTGTTGGATTGAAAATAAAATCTACGTACGAGCTTGAGATAGTCTCCGACAGCTATTAGGAATTCTGGACAAAGTTGAAAAACTTACAAACGCAGTGGTAATATAATAAAGAGCATGTAAGAAAACACTCCTCGAAATTACGGCAAATAATCCCGACCTAGTTCTCAAAGCAAAATCTCTGGGTTTATCTGCTTAATCAAAAGCATTGTTGCCACGTTGATGTATAAGTTTTACTGTAGTAATGTTTGTATTGTTTTATTGCTTGTTGTTTCCAAGTCATTAGGTTGCCGCTCACTCCTCGGGCACGCATGAAATGCATTGCGTGCTATGAATCATGAAATCTGAAATGTTTGTTAGTTTAAATACCTACTAATCAAATGAGATTTGGCATCTATTTGTCACAAATATCAATATGTCCAAAATAGTTCTATAGTGCTGGAAATTCTGCGCAATGATAGATATTTATCCATACCCGTTTTATTTACAACAAAGAATTTTTAAGGGATTTCATTTAACACAAATGTTGCATTTAGTAATTCGCCATGTTTAGCAGAATTTTGTAATGGCTATAGCTTTTGAAAAATTATTTATTTAGTGTTTAATTTATATGTAAACTATCGAAATTTAAGCGCTTTAATTTTTTGCCAAATACATACCTATAATCTACCAGTAAAATTTTTGGCGCAACAAAAATTGTCCATACTTTTCAAAACGATTTAACTGATGTTGTATATTAATATTTGTTGCTACGCTTCTTGGCTCTACCCGCCATTTTCATTTTCGAGTAAAGTCTCCTTTTTAACATCCACATCCTCTAGATTAATTTTACGACACGCTTAAAACATAATTATTGGCTCTCATAATTCTTCAGTAAAAATAAAATATCTTAAAAAAAAAAAAAAAAAAAAAATTGTTTTTATTGTTCTGTTTCTAGATGTTGACACTGTAATACAGAAATAAAACTATTTTAATAAGAGTATTATATAATGCTGTGTAAAATAGTTGCTTAAGAGATTGGTATATCTTTTTTAGAATCTATAGACTACTAAATCGGTGGTATTAAATAGCCTTTTCTGGTTGATAAGCTATCATAATGACGTATCATAGGACACTTATATGAAATTGAGTATATATAAAATTTTTAAGAATTATTATCACATAGTGTTTATACAACCTTATAAATAAAAGTTTTGCATTAAAAAAAAAAAAAAAAACTTTAAAAGTTATTTTTGGTAAAAAACCACTACCAGAATCCAAACCAAAACTACTTGTCAGCAGTTATGTTTACTTATAAACAAATTACTTTCACTGATTGAAACGTTTCTCGAAACATTTGCCGATGTAATTCCATAAAATTAAAAAAACTACTCACAGCTGTCTTGGTCTATTTCGATCTTTTTCGGAGTTTGCGGCAGAGACAAGCCAAGACTTCAACATAAGAAAAGCATTGACTTTATTTCTGAAAGTATTCCCAATTAAAAAATATATAAAAAAAAAAAAAAAAAAAAATATTTTGTGAAACATTTCGGGCATAGTGTACAGGGTGTCCAAAAAAAAAAAAATATAATATATTTGTTTTCAAAATTTTTTTTTTAATAATTTTTTAATTAATTGTTAACCCAGCTTTTTTTCACAAAACAATACGTATTACCCAGCTTTCTATAGATTATGCTCTTTACTTCTATTAACTATTTAAAGTAATTTCCTATTTTAGACGGTTTTACAGAGAAATTAATAATCGGGTGTGTTATCTGTAACAGGAAATTTGACATACCTTGAACGACAAGTGGAAGTTTTGGACGTTGACGTTTTTGTAAGGCGCGGTTTTCCTTTGACCAAGCAACAGACCTCCTTGATTTCATCTCTTCTATCGGAAATCCTGAATGGCGAATAGCGAGGATTAATGTCAGATCATACCAATGTCATATTCAGGTGGCCATCGACAATTTAACAAAGAAAAATAAAGATTGTTCGTCCATTCAGCAGCAATGTATAATATTTCTACAAAAGTTAGAAAAGG